ATATAATTGGATTAAGGTTAGTGTTAACATTGTTATAAGGAAAGAATAAGTGAAAAAACGCAATATTCCCTCAAAGTATCTAACAAATGTGAATCAGTTATATGAAATTGGGTTTGGGTGACACCAGGTGTTATCAACACAACAGAGAACACGTTGTTGGTTGTGGACACCAATGAGACCTGTAAGCACTATTTATGTACCTCTTTATACCTATTAGATACCACTTTGCAAAGAGAGAACACCTGGGATTCCATTTCACATCGTTGTTTCACATCGCTGAAGCGAGTGCAAGCGGACTGATCATAACAGTCAGTCAATACAGGACCATTTGGGCTGAAATAGGTTATATGTATATTTCACCGAGAGATATCAATTGTGAACACTGTTTGCTCTGGCGTACACAGTGCTTGGCGTGTAGGGAAGGTTTGTTATTTGAAAGGTGACATCCCCGTTTGGCTTGCTATCATTTTTTTATTTCTTCGTTGTCCCTGGCCAGTGATTAAGACCAGACACTGACAAACAGGATGCAGAAAACTGTATATTATTCAGCATTTAAAGGTTGGAAGCACGCAACACTAGACACAACGTCACGGCTGATGTCAATTGACCTCTTTCGACAATTCTGTACTTTTAAACGGCAATTGGGACATCGTTACATATATTTTTCAACATTGTTTCCACAAGAAAACCAAAAGTCACTAACACTTCAAACATTTTGTTCATTTCTGGTTGCAATGGACGGTTACGATATGAATTAATCCATATGTACATAAACACTTGATGCATAAACATTTAATTAAATACTGACCTATGAAGATGCATTTAAACATGTAAGCCATAAGCATGCAATACAAGAATGATCTATTAGCACATTTTTTAGCAAGGTACATGTGCTTGCTGGCGGTCATGTACGTAGAAACTTGAAAATAAAAGCAATTAAAACAGGAAAATGTTTAATACAAGTTTGATATTGATGACTGGATTGGCGTGGATACTGCCCATCATCATTCACAGGAAGTCATTTGAGAATACATTTGATGAACGCTTGTTGATATAATTAAGGTTTCGTGAACCCCTCAACTACCGATTCAAGTTCGAAAACACCTACAATGCATCGAGCGAGTTAGAGAAGATACATTGATTTAAGTGCTAATGACACACTTTAGCAGTTAGGCCATGTTTTAGTGCTTCACGGAACGATTAAGCTGGACTAACACGATCGCTAGAGACGTGAAATCTGCTCACCTTACGTTGACAATGGATCAGCATTCTCTGCCATTATAATGCCTAACATTTATCTGGAATGACATCGTAATTCCTAACATTGTTCTCGAATTGCAAGTTGAAAGGTTACGATACATACATTCTGGCTCAAAGTAGTACAGCAGCATAAAACCGTGTGTGCTAACCTATATATTGTCAGATAGCGACATAAACCGTTTTGGACAAATATATTCCTACAAATTTGTTCCTAAATAGGTTCTAGGATGGACTGTTGAGGAAATAATGTGATAATATAAGCTTTTCATTGCTTCTGTTCCAGACAGTTTACGACTGGCGTCAGTACAGGCTGGCTTTAAATGGTAAAGGTTACACACGTTCCAACCATTTGAGTTTCAGTCGTTTGACACCACGGACAGAAAGTACGTGTGAGGTAATCAGTTAGATAATGGAATTCGAACGGCAGTGGCGATCATCGGGCATTATGTTGATGGCGGGATGGCTCATTGATGTTGTTGTGGTCATCTGCTTATCCTGTGACGGAATCCCAGACTCCCTTTGACAATGGCCCTTGGTGGAGTCATGTGCTGCTCAAAAATAATAACTGTTTGCTTCTTGTGTCACCTTCGGCACTCTTCCCATGACAAGCTGACAGCCAGTAATATAACTGCAGTGATGTTCCGACTGGTATTTCACCTGGTTGACGTACTCGCTTTTTCATAAGAAAATTAATCAAGATTGCAGCTAAACTGTTCCTCGAGGGAAATCAGTCATATTACAGTAACATTGTACCACTCCGTATTTCATATTTCATCCAGGGTTGTTGACCATTCGAAGGTGCAATCTATAAACGAATAATCGTTGACACACTATTAACGGGGCAGTTTTATGTTCAGACTGTCCCAGCAAGTTCTTATGTGAGTGTTGTTTTAGAATACAAATGTCCAGAAATTGCTAATTGCAGCATAATTATGAATACAAAGTTCTATAAAGACAGTCGACAGTCGCCTTCCAGATTGGTTTTGTACGAGTTCGAGTTGTCTCATTGTATACCTGAATATTGCAGAATCGACCGTAAGCTTAGTTTCTGATGCTCGATTTACCTATTATAAAGAAAACCCCAAAAAGCGGCGATTGCAGGCATTCGGTTGGATCTGTGTATCACCGGCTTAGACCCGTGAAGATCCAGGGTTAGAATTGGTCTTCAGCAACCCATGCTTGTCGTAAGAGGCGAACAACCAAATCGGGTGGTCAGACTTGCTGACTTGGTTGACACATGTCATCGTATCCCAATTTAGTAGATTGATCCTCACGATGCTGATTATTTACAGACCACCGCCATATAGCTGGAATACTGCTGGGTGCGGTGGTAAACAACAAACGAATCTGACCTACCTGGTCATCACGGTCTGAATACGTATTAGTAAACAAGGATATCTTGTCAGCTTCCATCGGTATTCTAGACAAAATACATGTTTCTAGACAGTGACAAAATGCTTGACTGATGTCCACTGACATTACAAAGAGGGTCCCTTAGCTATTGTTGCTACTCATTATTCTATTTAATCTTCGTTTCGGATTGACGCCTTGCGCTCCAACATGGAAATCACCTCGTTTCAAACTTTCTTACAAATTGTGTTGTGTACTGCGAAACACAGTGGTCCAATGATTATGAATAACCTGCCTTTTAATTACAGCTACACATGTACATAGCATAGCGTAACATTCACATTACACCATTAATTTCAATATTATGAATCGTTGTTGTTCGATAAAATTGTGTTATTGACGTTGATTGTAAGGTTCTTTGTATAGTTAATACCGTCCCTTTCTACTGTCACCCGGGGCGGTGGGGTAGGCTGGTTGTTAAAGTGTTCGCTTGTCACGCCGAAGACCGGTTTCCCACATGGGTACAAAGTGTGAAGTCCATTTCTGGTGTCCCCCGCCGTGATATTGCTCGCAAACTGCTAAAGGAACCGTATAGCTACGAGTCTACGGTCACAACGAATGTCTTCCATTGGGAAACGGCAATACAGTCTACCTTCTGACATTTCTGGAAAACCAGCATCACGCATATTATTCCCAGTGAGAACAAAGATAAAACCTGGGGTGATATCAAGCTCATATCAATAAGTGCAAATTATGCTATTAGCGTAGGGTCAGATTTCAGGTTGACAATTTTACCATTCCTTTCTAGCAGTAATTTCCAATAATAAAGGTTTGCATGAAATAGCTTAAGCTACCTCTCCTATTTCCACTGGAGATTTCCATATAACCACCGACAACGATTCATTGCCAGAAGGTATTCCTAACTGTGCAATAGGCAATCTATTATATTATACAGAGGTCGTGGACTTCATCCACTGTTACTCATCATGCACTACATCATTATTATCATTGTTACAAGAGTATATCATTATAGTAGGAGATAGTTTAAGAGTGCAACAGGGGCATCACACTAAGATTTGCATTAGTCGTTGAACGTCAGATGACCATAAATAGTGTTAGATGATTGGCCAAAGCGCTCTACTGTCCATCACTTCAATTACCACGAAAAGTCAAACTCCTTAATATCGCGTGAATCCGCTTCTATTCTCAACACAATACCGAATTCCACAAGACATATTCCTAGTCAAGCGTCCCAACTTCGATCCCATTCTTCCCGCAGCGCAGCGCCAGGTTCGTTGAGAGTAGTCGGTCCATATCGTGTATGATGATCCCCAACTCTCCAGGTACCGTAATTTGGGATTTTTTAAAATGAATGAGGATAAATACATTTCTAACCACGGACTGTTGTGAGTGAGTGAGTTAAAATTTATAGTCACATCGGCAATATTTCAGCCATATTGTGACTCGGACTGTTGTGAAAATATTAGGTCACGGTAACATATCGCACTGACTTATACATGTATACATGTTCCTTTCTTTCGTTGTGTGTTGCACTTGGCAATATTCGGACATACGACCGCGGTCTGTAAATAATGAAGTAAATAACGGACCAGATAAACCCGTGATTGACATTATGCACAGCATCCCTAGGCGTCGGAGTTTGATTCAGGCCATGAACCAAGGCACCAAGTGTCCATGGCAGGTTACTGGGAACCGATTCGAACCCCGAATTCCTACGAAATCCTTTGAAGCGTAAAGGAAATATATATGAAATATACATTATATTATAAGCAGGTTGTCAGATTGTGTGAATGGCAGGTATTAATGGCAGGTAATGCTCATCCTTTACACGAACACCCGGTGTTATCAGTGACGTTTAAATTATCTATTCTTAAATTCCAATGGCTGTTTTGCCGTTTACGCTCAATGGAAAATGGAGATCTGTTATTTTCTGGAGTTTGATATTGAAGTGTGTTTGTTCTCTCATCAATTTCATACGAACGTGACTAAGAATTGTTCCCACTACTTAGAACTGATGCATGTTTCAATGTTGAGTCATTTCACATCCAAATAGCAGGAAAATCACGGTCAACAAATGAAAGAATTCAAGTATTTCGATCTCTCTGTCAGGATACCTTTAAATCATGTAGGAGATATAAGAATGATGCATGTTGAGAAAGTTAGCACTATCGGGCACGTGAACTGTTTTCTCTTTTTTTATTTGATAAAAATGTCGTATAAACAGCATCTCAAGAAGACTAAACATCCGACTGTGTTAACTGAGAGCCATGTAAATAAGTCAACGCATCGGAACACCACATTTATTCAGTGACCTCATACGACAAGTATAGCTTTGATGAAACCAATAACAATAAATCAGTTGGGTTAACATGCCTCTTAATACCCAGCAGGAGAGTAAGGCTTGTTATTATTGCATTCTGTAATTCACAAGTTTTGATGTTGAAGGATCATTTGTACAAATAAACTGAAGATATTAAACGAACTCTTTTAGTTTACTCTTAAGTAATTATTGAGAAAGGATAATGTTGCTAAGTTTACGAAATAATTAGCGTGTCCCATTTTCCGAAACAGGTGTGTGTGTGTGTGTGTGTGTGTGTGTGTGTGTGTGTGTGTGTGTGTGTGTGTGTGTGTGTGTGTGTGTGTGTGTGTGTGTGTGTGTGTGTGTGTGTGTGTGTGTGTGTGTGTGTGTGTGTGTGTGTGTGTGTGTGTGTGTGTGTGTGTGTGTGTGTGTGTGTGTGTGTGTGTGTGTGTGTGTGTGTGTGTGTGTGTGTGTGTGGTTAAAGTGTTCGCTGGACACGCCGAAGGCCCGGGTACGCTTCCCCACATGGGAATAATGTGTGAAGCCTATTTCTGGTGTACCCCCGCCGTGATATTGCTGGATTATTGCTAACAGCGGCGTTAAACCAAACTCACTCACTCACTCTGAAGAGGTGGACTCGTGGGTGTGTGGGTGTGTGCTGGTGTGTGTGTGTTTTAAGTGACACTCAAGATTATAGCACTTATATAACAACGTGTGTGGGCGGGAGGGAGGGAGCGGTTCGCACTTCAACCAGTTCTCCGTTTTTGGCCCACTGAGATACCGCTGATTAATTATCCATATTGCACGCAAACAAATTACACTGACTCCAAGTCTGGTCCTTGTTTTCCCTGAATGCCCAACGTCAGACAGAGAAGCGTTACTCTACGTTATAACGTTTGTATAAACGCGGTATTAACTGAATTGCCAAACGTCGTATAATTACTACGCCGCTGGTTTCGTAATATCCACCTTCGGACATGCAAGACCAAGGCCTTTCATCCATCAAACTATATAGTTTATTAGACTGAAATGGCAACAATAAATCTCCATTTCTACGCACCCTGTATCTGAACCATATGCAGTATATTGGTTTAAGAACTCCAGTAAGATGATTACCAGCAAGCATGCAGCAACTAGAGACACATAATTTCCAAGTTGTAATGTGATTCTATGTTTTTTTGTTTCAGATCTAGAGATCACACGTCGACATTATATATGGCTTACGGTGGCGGTATGGGTTAATGCCCTCTTCTGGGCAGCAATGCCTCTACTTGGCTGGAGTCGGTATGTATCCTAATCCTAACTTGACCTTTGCATGACATTGGTTGGACATGAGTTGAGACTACACATCAAGGAGGGATTTCATTAGGTTTGTGTGAAACTACTCACACACAACGATAATATCTGCGAAGATTTCCGTATTTTATGACGCTGACTAATAAGTTGTATGGTCCGGTCCTAATTAGCTCGTGTTTAGAATGTCGAGTTGTATCACTCCACGTGATATACTTCTGAACATGACTTTTGTATTTAACGGTTCATATTTAAATGTTACCCTAGTTACCATATCTTATCTCCTTGAATTAGAAAACACAGGTAGGTGTATGTATATTGTCTGCATGGAACAAAATCACGATAATCAATATAATATTTGTCCTTGCATGTTCTGGAGAACAGAATGTCGCGGGTCCGATTCCCGGCCGCGTCATACCAAAAGACGTGAAAATATGGTATTTGTTGGTCCCTGTCTGGCATTAATGGGTACAACAAGGACTGGTCGGCGCGGAGCTAACACTATAAAGCCAGCTTAGGACTGGGCTAGTACAAGCATCCACACGCATGCACGTCGTCATATGAGCGAAATAATCTTTAACGTTAAACCCCATTTCACCTCACCTCACCTCACCTCACCTCACCTCACACTTCATGTTCGAACTTCAAGAACGTCACTGACCCCAAACCTCATCCATGAGCAATAAGAATAACAGCAGCAGCTACAAAGAATGTCAAATGATGCATAAGTCAATACAGTCAAGTGCAGAGGATAGTTCTGTGTTCCATACATAAAGTTAGTATTTCTAACGATCTCGCTTTCTGTTCCTGCTGACGTGGACATATTGTTGGTTTAGGTATCATAAAACATAATTCATGGATTGGGAGAATTCCTTAATATCAAGTAATTAAAAAGCGACAATTGTTTTAAATATTCAAATATCTGGCACACAAGTATCAAAAGTGAGGGAAGCCCACGAACTCCAATAGGTGCTCTGTTTACCTGGATGTGATGCTTAATATCAAAGGAGAAACAATGCCTTGTTGTCTGACATCTATACAGATCACAATATGTGAAAAATATCATGTGTGGTAATCATACCTAGAAATAGGCAGTTACTCTGTGTCTTTGTAAGAGGTTTTGGTGATAAAAGCTGGATATAGTCATGGAACTAGAACCCTTCGTCCCGATGCATTATGTGGAGATTACTTGAGTGGCGTCACATGTATGATGAGATTCTGCATGTTTCAGATATGCCTTAGAACCGTCGAACATTGCGTGTCTGATTGATCTCCGGGAACGAGATGCTGGTTTCATCTCTTACGTCATCATGATATTCTTGGTCTGCTTTGCGTTCCCCCTCGTGGTCATCGGCCTGGCCTACGTCCACACCCTCAGAGTCATGCGTGCCATCGGGGAGGGTGGGGCACAGGAGAACGTCGAATGGACAAATGAAAAACAGACAACAAAGGTAACGAAATGATACCGCTTTTTTCCGTGTTTTTAGAGTTCTTGAGTGTGTTTATCCGTCGCTTTGGTGCAATAATCCAGTAATACTACGGTAGGGATACTAGATATGAGTGAGTGATTGAGTTTAGTTTTACGCCGCTTTTAGCAATATTCCAGCAATATCACGACGGGGGACACCACAAATGGGCACTAGATATGAGCTACGCAAACCGTTACCAAATGGGAAGCTTGGCATTTTTCTTCACGAAAGAACGTTTTAACCACAATACACTCAACTCTGTGTACATGACGAGCGAATGCTGATTCTCTTTGCAGTAAGAAATATACGTGATTACATAAACGAAGCACTGGGTCTGGAAATAAAAGATCCGGTTTTGATTTTAACATATACTCGCCCAAAAAAGAAACGCATCATGAAAATAGCAATTTCATGTAGCAATGAATTAAAACGATTTCATTTTACAAAAGGTTTTGCTCTGTTTATGAGTCCTTTGGTGTTTATGTTTTGAAACATCACAACAAAACGCACCATCCGTAAAATACCCGTATTTAACAGCATGATTTTCAATTTCGGCCTGTAGTGTCACAGAATACACAATTCACATGGAATGCACGTGAAAGTTGGGGATCAGATAGTCTCAATGATGGGTATAAAAGGTTGATCGCTGTCTGTCGATTATTCACTGTATTTGGAATATTGTTGACGAACGCAAAATGCCACGTCTAAGTGAAGCCAACCGTCATATCGCCATTGGTTTGCTTGAAGCTGGCCAGTCTCAACGTGCAGTTGCCCGACGCATGAATGTTCACCAAAGCACCATTTCACGGCTCGGGGAGAGATATCGCCGGCAGAATTCGGTAGCAGATGCCCCTCGTAGTGGGCGACCTCGAGCGACCACTGCGGCGCAGGATCGCTACATCCGGGTACATCACCTGCGTCATCGAACACCTACGGCGACCAGTACCGCTCGACAAATACCCGGATTGAGGAGGCTTTCTGCACAGACCGTCAGGAACAGGTTGAGAGAGGCTGGTTTACGTGCCAGAAGACCTTATTTTGGCCCTGTGCTTCGACAACAACATCGTCGACATCGAGTTCAATGGTGCACCAACGTTCAGGCCTGGAACCTACCGAATTGGCGTAGAATCTGGTTCAGTGATGATCACGATTTCTATTGGAACGACGCGATGGAAGAATGCGGGTGTACAGACGTCGACGTGAACGTTTCGCCGACGCTTGCGTTCCCCAGATGGACAGATTCGGCTGGGGAAGTGTTATGATGTGTGTGTGTGTGTGTGGGTGGGGCACCTGCCGTAGGAGAGGTGATTTGGTGATGATCCAGGGCAACCTGACAGCTCAACGGTACTGTGAAGAAATCCTACGCCCACACCTCCTTCCAATCATTGATCGCCAGAGGGAGTTGTTTCAACAGGACAATGCCAGGCCCCACACAGCACGTCACACTAGAGACTTCCTCCAGAACCACAACATCAATGTGCTCCCCTGGCCCTCAAGATCACCGGACTTAAACCCGATCGAACATCTGTGGGATGCCCTGGACAGACGGGTACGACGCCGTAATTCTCAGCCCCAGACACTTCAGCAACTCGCACAGGCACTACAGGCAGAGTGGGCTGCGATTGGGCAACACGAGTTTCTGAGACTTATTCGTTCGATGCCGAGGCGATGCTCTGCAGTCTGGATGCCCACGGTGGTCACACGAGGTATTGACTTCAGCGCCACCACACGTCTCCATGTGACACTCAAACTGACTTTCCTCGAGTTGGTGCCAAAGACGGATATGTCTGCATTCCCAGTGTGCATTTACTCATAAAGCCTACATGATGTTTCAAAATAAACATAAAAATACAGTTGAAATTCCTATATGCGTTTCTTTTTTGGGAGAGTATATTATATTCACATAAAAGGTCAAATGTTTTCCAAATTAGAACGCCCTTTTCATAAACATAGATTGCAGATTGGGCCATTGACTGACTGTCTCGCCAACGGGACGGGTAACGCAAGGTTTGCAACCTGATCTATGTCAGATGTGTCGTTGAACAAACAGAATCTGGGAAATGTTACCCGAGAGTATTCACAGGGTTAAGCCATTTAACATTGTTTCAGTTATGTTTATGGCATGTGAGATTACTTTGGAAAGTTCCATATGACATTGGCGGTATCTTTGGCGAAATCTACCTGCACGGCTGATGAAGCAAAGTTGATTATAATCAAGACGAGGGAGACATAAGCGGATCATGTTTCGGAAAGGGGATGGAATATGACGCCAAGAAAAGGAATTGAATTTGAGTGTGTGCACTGAATATGACCTGCAAGTGGAAACTACAGACTAAATTGGATATATGCATAGAAGGGATATTAGAAATACCAGCAGCGACATAGTGCTCCAGGAACACTGTAGGTCGCACGTCTATTGGAATGGTTCATAAGAAGATAAAGGATCCCAGAAACATAAGACAGTGGTCACTCAAAGTTTTGTGTGTCTTTTAAGAATCTCAAGAGCTGAGGAAAGACATTGTATGTTTCATTGGCATTACAAAAGACTTTGGACTTTTGTACTTTGGATTATAGCCTCTATTAGAAATGTTATTTCCGTCTCTTGTTCTGCATGAACTACACGGACCAACATGAATAATGAATGAAATGAAGTCATCGGTGTCCCTGTTGGAAACATGTTCGTCTGCTCTTGATCTGCAAGATATTGTCATAACTGGAATCGCATCATTGTCCAACCGCTTATAACCAGGGTCGGCGGTGATTGTTCGATGGGGGTGAATGCTACGTGTATGTGCCGCTTCTCCGCGTATCCTAACTGCTTGAAATTTATTAAATACAACAACTGAGAATCAATTCTAACCAACAATAGTCAACAGGGAAAATGTGCTTTGTGTTTGATATCGATGTTTAATACTTAATACTTAACGTATGACGTGTAGAACTTACGTATAGGATGTATGCATGGATTTCAACAGACAAGCATCAGCAGAGACTAAAATGAGAGTCACCTCTGACTGTCATTGGAAGATCTGAACAGGAACAAAACATCAAAATATGTTTTAATGCACGAATGAAGTTATAAGTTTTCTGTCCGTAGGCGTTTGAGCTATAAGACCACAATTAGACGTCAACGAGTGATCATAGCCTTTATATTGACACACCAGGTTTTTTACAGTCGTTTTAAATAACAGTATTACTGACCCTGAATATAGGTGTTTAGCACTTGAAAGTATCCCAGATACACACTGAAGACACAAGAGGGGATTGTCGGAACACAGGCGAGAGGTAGAAGTGTCGCCACTTCATAAGTCGTTCGAGAAGAAACAGTTACCAAAGGAATAGGCTGTTACTCCATTGTCTTTCGCTCTTCCGAAGCCTCAAAAGGTTAGCTCTGATAAACAACTGCTAACATAAGATGCCTTCCATCATTTGTTGATTCCAAGCGGTACCATTCCGCGACGTAGGGCCGAAATTGATGGGTTCTGGGTCCGCTACTGTATGCCACATTTGGACGATTAGTTTCGATAGTTGCGGCTGAAAGTCAACCTGAATCAATAAATTTTGAATTGCCTGCCCCTATGCCTTGAGCTTAGAGTCTTGACATATTTGTGGATTATAAATTTGATTTAGGATAATTAGTATCTCGATAATTATTTTGAGAGCATATGGTGACTGGTTCTTCACAAAATAATGGCGGAAAAATAGTAATAATCCCTTGTCAGTGTATCGGCACAAACACAGTGTCTGAAGCAATGTGATGGCGTGGCTCGATCGCTTTCGATCTCATCGTGCTTGTGGTTTTGACTTAGATGAACATCCAAAGTACGACAAAGAATATGTCATCACGGTATTGTACTTCTTTGGAAAAGGCCCGTGTACAGCCTCCGACATATCCAAGTCAATAACCATGACCCTCTCGAATAACTCCGGTGAATTGTTCCGGTGCGATAAAAGCATCGCTTACGAAATGTCACGCTTGCGCCCCTACTACCAAGTTGTCTGACCCTACATTGTTCTTGGTTCCAATTTGTTGACTGACAATGGGAACCCAGTTTGGACGCCAGGAACACATCCCTACTGACACTCTTGGTAATGAAATACGTCTGCAGAACTTGGTGCGTCCGACCAGGCCGCACTTCCAGCGATAAGTCTCATTTTCTGCCTCGGGTGCGTGTTCAGGGCGCAGGAACCGTGGGCTGATGAGAACCATAACCACCCTGACTGTCCCAGTATCACCAGAACCATCTTTGTTGTATTTATTTATTTTTATTTGTAAATAATAAATAGTGAAGGAGGGCATTCCGGACGAGCGCTGGCCTGAAAAGTGAAACAGAATGATTACTCGTGGCTGCTCAGGGCCTGTCACTTCCCACTTGGAACCGTCAAAGTGTGATTTGGCATCATGTGCATTATTGAATGAATTTAATGAGACCGTTAAACACCATGTCCGCTGATGTCCAGAGTTGGCACATACACATTATCTTAAGCAACGATCGCCATGCTTGTGGTTCTGACGTACATGTCACACATGCTACTACCGATATATCTGTAAAGGACGTCCTGGAAAACTACAATTATGAAACAAGTTCTCAGTGGGTTCGACAAGGCAGCGGTTCCTGGGGAAGTCCCACTGACTCTCTGGGCTGTTTGTAAAGGTGGCAAGGACCTTTACCTGCTCTTGAACCCAGACTGTGCCAGGATCACCCGGACGCTCTTTACTACATTAATGTATTTTGATCTGTAAATGTGATTAATAAGGAAATTTGTAAATTTCCTTAACATGCATCATTTTCTACAATATATCGAATTCATTCTCATTGGTTACTATATCCACCTACTTGATATAATGATTCATATTGCCACAAAGCAGGACGTTATTTAAAAGGATAAATATAAAAATAGCCTTTTAAAACGGCATAGTAAGAAATTATTTTCTTCTCGACGCACGGAATGTCACTTAATGGTCTTGCTGTTCCCCGTAAAGACGCCATGTGCATGTCGAGGTACCACCCCCGGGAGCCGGCGGTTGCCATGGTGATCTATCTATGAGTTCCTGAAAAAGACCTGCGACGGTGTTTACTGGATCATTGTAATCTTCCTTGGTTTTTGTATTATGTGACATTTAAAGATGGCGTATGCAGTTGGATAGGGGGAAATAGAGTGTGCTATTTTGATAAGAATTGATGTGAAGGGTGAATAATGCGAATAACACGAAAAGTACTATGTAATATAGTCGTTCCCCAAACGACTATGAGTGGCTGTAATTGGTAGCCAGAAAGTATGCTCTGGATGGTTTTGATGGATCGGACGGTGAGACTTTATGTCGTCACTTTACCAGGTTCTGATATACACGTTTAACTGCAATGATCTATCTGGGTTTTTTATGAGGCAATGCCTGTGCTCATAGGTTACGCATCTGCAGTCCAAGCCCCATTACAGTCCGTTTGAGTCAGAAACGGACCAATGAAAGCTTTTGCTGCCCGCTTACGGAATTTATTAATGGCATAAAATGGTTTGCCCCTTTCGGCTTCAGCACGGAAAGAATCATACACTTTAATCATCAACTGTCTCACGTCAGCATTCAACTTCATTTTTCATCAGGCATGTGTATCCCGTGCACGACGAGATAGTGGCTGTTCCGTTTCTGCGGTTTCACCCGCCGCGACAGATAACAACTTTTGCGTTTTCAATGATGATAGTTTCTTAATCAACTGTTTTGGTGGAGTCCGGAAAATGTTCAAATATAAGAAACCTGTTGGGTATTAGTAAATGATAAACATGTGTACTATTTATATTTATGTGGCAGTTTTGTACAATGATAAAATTTGCAATTCATCGGTCCGTTTCTGACTCAAACGGACTGTAGATATTTCACCTTGACATGTTGACAGTCATTGGTGTGACGGAAGTACTGCCATCGCGTCTCTTGAAGTCATTCACATGTAGTTATTAATAGTAATAATAGCAATAGTCCGCTTAAATGGCGCTCATATCCAGGTACATTGCCTGCTCACGGCGCTACGTACATTACTATCCCCGGTCATAGGACACTATCGTACTTTCCAACTACTTTTTCAACTCCCTGGGGATCATACATCCATGCTGCTGTTAGGCGCAATGAATTAAACACTCACATTGCCAGCACACCCTCACGGGTACCCATTTTACATCTGGAAACAATGTGTATTTAGGTATCTTGTCCAAGGATACCACGCAAATGTGCCCATCTCGGGACCCGAATCTAGGTGCCTCCATCGGAGATCGAACCCGGACCTTAAGCGTGATAGGCAGACGCCTTACCACTGCACTATTGCGCTTCCGGGGAAACATATCCTCATTGCATTTTCACAGAATATTCTGAGGTATACTGACGAATATTCTGAGGTATGCATCAGTTATGACCAAACATCCTCTGAAGCAAAGTGTATTTACAATGGAAAGTTTATTTTGACAATATGCGTATTTCTGTTCAATAGGCTCCGAAGGTGGTAGTGGTTGGAGATGTTTGAACAGCATTTTATCATCCAAAACTGTGTTCCACAGGAGATATCGCTTGTGTGAGATCAAACGATATCTCCTAGGAGATATCGTTTTGACAGTAGATTTTGTACAATGTCCTGACAATGCTATGACGTCACAATGCTATGTCATCACTGCACTGCAAGTCTAATGGCAGTACCGTGTTCAGAGATGTACATTTTCATTGAAAATTAATGAAGAGTGATTTTGGATGATAAATAGAATCTCACCCTCGTATCTTCTGATATCAAATATGTCAACACTCGTTGATAAAAGTTAAAATATCCTCGGCAAGCCTCATATATTTGTAACTTTATCAACTCGTATTGATATAATGGTTATCATAAGACACTTGGTTGAGATTCTCTATGTATGTGTATTCATGGATACGTATTTAATACAGTTTCTTTTGTTTCAGATGGGGGTTATAGTGGTGATGCTGTTCGTGGTTGGATGGTCTCCCTATGCCTTCCTTCACTTGTATGCCTTATTTGACTCCCCATACAATGTGACTCCTCTGCTATCGACAATTACCGCCCTGTGTGCAAAGACGTCCACGGTGTACAACCCCGTTGTGTACATCACCATGAACAGACGCTATATGCTGGCCATCAAGAAGATGTTCAAGTGCGTGTTCACATACAGGGACCATGAAGCAATTCAGATACACAACCTTACGTGATCTGAAAACCGTGGACATTTTATATATTCATTGTTATATATTCACCATATTATCATGATGATACCTGTTACTTTCTTTCAATACATGTGTTGTCGTATGCACACTGTTTGTACATGTTTGTACATGAAAGCTAGGGGCGTTGAAGTAGCCTTGTGGTAAGCGCGTTCGGACGTAACGCCGAAAACATGGGTTCTATTCCCAAAAATATATAATATGTGAAGCCCATTGCTGGTGTCCCCGGCTGCGTTGTTGCTGGAATAATGCTAAAGACGACCAAAACACTCACTTACATGAAAGCTTGAAAGGTTTTTTAGGCATGGCAAATAAAGAAAATACCTCCATCACGTTACACTGGAATAATGTTTGCTATGAAATTCCATTTCAAAGAACGTTTCAAATATGCATTATACTACTTACGCACTGGGCCTTTAACTGATTGACCACATTCTGTAGATAGGTGGCTTTATAAAATTACGAACACAATTTTATAACGAAGAAATGACAATCGTTTAAGGCTAATGAGATCAATGATAGTACTTCCCAATAACGAATCAATACCAGTGTTAACTTGTTTGAGTTGCATTTTAGAAGTTGAGACGTACAATATGGAACAAGTTTTTTATGGATAACAACGGTACAAGAATCTGTATCGAAACGTCACACTCACGAAATAAAGAAGTTGTTATCCATAAAAACTTGTTCCATATAATACCAGTGTTAATGAGCATTGACATACGTTGGACTGCATACGTGTGCTCGAATATCTTCTCTTGAACCCATCCATGATCTGAACGAACATATGGAGAATACATCTGTCGACTACCGAGCATTGACATTGACAGTCTTAGTGCAACATTGAACAATCTATTAAGTCACACCAGCCCCTATTCAACACGTCTATTTGGGTTTAAATATTCGGCTAAAACAGCAAAGATGACAAACGCCTAATCTCAACTCATTAGTAACCCAAGATCGTGTCGTGCCATTTTGACGACCTGTACCTGACGTGGATGAATTACTGCTCACTGCCACCTTGACTGACAACAGACATTGTCCATGTACGGAAATGTGAACAAAACGATAAATAATGTCTTCCCATGCTTCCGATTATATCATCTATACAAAGAATTTGCTTTGATATTTGCAAAATCAGAAAAGAACCAGGTTAAATTCTTTTCACATGTTTTCTGTTTACATAACTATCAAATTCGGCAAACCATAGATATGCGTAGCTACATCTTCGCAGGTCGGTTTGTCTGTATATACTGTATCCGAAATGTTGAATTTCCTTGATGGCATCTTTGTAGAATTTGGTGATGTGAAATATGAGAAGTCGTCAACCCGATAAGCACGACATGGGATTCAGTGTGCTGATCGATTCATTTATTCATTAATTTGAATTTCTGCTCAGGTTGGCTACTTTACGTATCTCAAATTACGAAATAGACCCATGAAAGATCAGATTATGCATGACGATTTAGAGTGACAAAAGAACTCCCCACTCGACTGTGTGATAAAAGGGAAGACTTCAACTTTCCGTTTTGTTGAACAACATCCCGGCGTCCCCAGATTTTGGTGTTTAGCATTTCACAACCTCTAGCATACTCTTCCTTAAAAGATTTCTCAATGTCAAACTACTCGTGCTCAAGAGTTGCTTGTGAACGATTCAATATTAAGTCGTGTTATTGTAGACATGCGAAGAACGTTATCAGGTTCCAGGACCACAATAATGCCCAATACAATTTCCTGTTCTGACTTGTATTATATCTCCCCGCGTTTGCATGTGACATGAATGCTTGACTTGCCTTAGCATGTGGTTGTGACGGTCGCAACCAGTGGTGCTCGGAATAAGCTCCGAGTCGACGTTTTGCGAACACCTCTAGGTTATCATATAGTGAGAACAGTACCATCATGGAACGTGTTGTTTGACCTTGGTGTGAAATATGGAAAGGCCTTATTGAGTTGCACTTCTTCCTATGTACAGAGTGGTGACGTGTAGCAATATGAGAATGAGAATTTGAAGATAAAGCTACTCTGTTTTCAATTTTGCGGTCCTTTATCGTTGATTTGAGACCGCTAAATGTAATTTGAAAACCGAACGCGTTTGATACCCACCCCTTCTCAAGTCAGCAACTACAGCGACCTCGCGATTGTTATACCTAGTGTAAGTGAGTTCAATAAAGTACGTTTATTATCCCTCTAGATATAGAACCGCAGCGTATGAATTTAGTGCTTGGTTTGAATTATGATTGTATAGAAAATAGACAATCATGTATTCAGCGAATGTTCTGATGTAAAGGTCATGAGAAGTAACAGACACTTTGTTTCAATTTCGACATGTGAAGAGAACCGGCAATCAAAGTCACTGGGAGACTGAAAGCCAGATAATATGACATTTGATCCTCAATGTATTGCAAAGAAGTTACACGTTAAATTACATTACATTGTTTAAGATGCATAAGTCATTATATTCGCTTTTCCATTTCCAAGTCGGTTTCTTCCATTATGAGATAATTAAAAGTTCCATCTGTGAAATGAAGTGTAGTATCTGGTAATAAATATGCGATCTGCAGTTAGCGCCGAGACGATACTTCTCTCAGGTACTGTGTTTACTACCATTGAAGGTGCAGACATTGATTGCAAAATCTCAAAGACACATACGTGGGTGTTTGAATAAATCATTATATGTCAGCTGTCCAAAACAATACGGCTTCATGTTTTGCTATTTTGATGTGGAAAGTGAGATTTGTACAAATGAAAACGCGACTCAAAAAAACAGAAAACATCCTTTCGATGGTACCACCCTGCGCTGTATCTACCGAGGCTCAGAACGGACAGGACCATATATACTAACTGCGGATGTGGTGATTGTCAGTATTATATGATATGTAGAAATTGTGTTTGTCCTTGAACTTTGGTATTGACAAAGGACTCTGGATTGACAAGATATTATGAACTGTGATATATCTCGACTGACAATGTGATATGCGAAGTCTTGTTTCGATAATACAATGCAATTATCTGTAGATATCTGGATCAATAATACTGTAAGATCAGTAGATATCTGATTGTCAGTGGTTAGTGAGTGAGTTTAGGTTTACGCCGCTTTTAGCAACACCAGAAATAGGCTTCACACATTGTACCCTTTATTGGAATCGATATTCGACCGGGTATTCAGCGTGACGAGCGAACGCTATAACCACTAGGCTTCCCCATCGCCCCTTGACAGTGGTTAATATCCTTTAAAAAAATACATAAGGGTTGACCATGTGATAGGACCTAGATATCTCCGCTGACAGCAGGTATATTATCTGTGAATATCGGGCTGACTTGGGTACGGGATCTGTAGTTACCGCAGATAACCGGCTTGACAATGATCACATGACCTGGAGGTGTTTTCATTAACAATGCCAAATGAACTATAAGAGTAAGTTAAAATAAAATGTAATATTTGATTTGACAGGTTGTATAATATATTGACACCTGCTTGATAACAGTATATTAGCTGTAGATAAATTGACTGACGCTGTTATAAATATGGCTTGTAGATATCTGAATCTGTGATCTGCAAATAGCTCAATTGGCAGTGTCCTATGACATACAGAATGATGGTATGTGAGATGTAAGTAGATCGATTGACTCTGTCATAGAACCTGACCATTAAGGTCTTGAATAAACAATGGTATGTGAGCATTATTCAGCTCGATTTACAGCGCATATGACCTAGTAGATATCCGAAAACAGCAATGGCGTATGAAATGTAAACAACGCGATTGGTTCTATGACAAGGGTAAAAGAGCTGAAGACATCTGAATTCAAATGACCTGTACATATCTAAACTGTGTCACTATGACATATAGGTATTGTGATTGACAGTTGTACATGTCCTTTAGATGTATGTTCTGATACTAGTATGTGTCCTGTATGCATCTCGACTGACAATAGTATATGGCCGTTTGCTTTACTCTTTTGGCAATGTCATGTCTTTGATTTGCAGATTTTGCAAATCTTATGCATATGTTTTGTGCCTTTAATGCTTGTAAAACCAATCACTGTTTGCCATGCTGACAGGTCCAAAGGAAGTGGTCACGAAAAGGACTACAACATATTTTTCTAATTCTCTCCATGTGACGGGGCATCGTGTTCATGTTCTGTTAATACGCTCGTTGGTTGTTTTAAATCCATCAAATGTTCCAAGCACGCAAAGCTTATTACATTATATGCATTATTATTTTGCATCTTGTTCACTTTCATGAATATGCCATTCTGATAACAGTATGAACAGACACAAGTGACAAAAGGAACAGATTCAATAAACATTGTAATTATTATTTCTTTTTGTTTGTTATTTGTAGTTCAGGGCGGTGGGGTAGCCTGAAGGATAAAGTGTTTGCCCTTCACGCCGATGGCCCGGGTTCGATTCCCACATGAGTACAATGTGTGAAGTCCATTTCTGGTGTCCCCGCCGTGAACTTGCTGGAATATTACTGTGTGTAGCTCAATTCCGCATTACCAATGGTTGTGACGAACAATGTATCAGGACTACGGGGTCCTACTTTTACATAACGTCCGTCCTCAAATATGTAAATGGCGCACAAGCTGTTGTTTTTTACACCAAGGTCCATAAGATCTATGGTCCATAATCAATAATGATTAGAAATAACACTATCACGTTCGTTGATTGTGTTCTGTGGGATGTCACAATCCCTCTGTAAACACAAACATAGATATCCACGTTGAGCATTTCACTTGTTGGGGCGGTGGGGTAGCCCAGTGGTTAAAGCGTTGACTCGTCACGCCGAAGACCCGGGTTCGAATCCCCACAGGGGTACAATGTGTGAAGCCCATTTCTGGTGTCCCCGGCCGTGATGTTGCTGGAATATTGCTAAAAGCGGCGTAAAACCAAACTCAGTCAGTCAGTCATTTCACTTGTCGGATATCATTACTACCACTCATACACATATATATACTTTAATATAAAATAATATATTCATGAGGGT